GCTGGTCTCAAACTCCTAGGCCCAAGTGATCCTCCCGCCTCAGCCTCCCAAAGTGCTGGGATGACAGGTGTGAGCCACTGTGCCAGGCCTCATTATCATCGAATGGGGATGACTACGTGGTTCCTGGCCTGGGGCAAGTTTCTCGCAGCCCTGAGGCAGGCTCAGCAGAAAGGGCCCAGAACAGCTGTAGGGGTCCGGGGAGGAGTTCCTCAGGCCACAGCTGCAATCCCACTACCCTATCTCCAGGACAGCCCGGGCCTCAGCTGGCCCCGTGTTCAAGGGCGTCTGTAAGCAGTTCTCACGCTCACAGGGCCATGGCTTCATCACCCCCGAGAACGGGTCCGAGGACATCTTCGTACATGTGTCTGAGTGAGTCCCCTCCACCTTCGTTCTTGGCCCCTGCCCTAGTGTCCCTAACGGTGCCTCAAAAATCTCTCTCCAGACCTCTCCCCTCCCTGGCTGAGGTCTGTATTCATGGCACCTTTTCTGTCCTCTGAGTAGGGACTGAAGGTGTGTTGGGGGAGGAGGGCTGTGGCCAGGTGGGGAGTGGGCATGCAGACCCCAGAAGCCTGGGAGCCAGCAGCTGGGCCCTGGATCCCATTCCAGCATCATGGGGGTCTGAGAGGGCTAGGCCAGCTCCTGAGCCTCTTGGCCTGGAACGGGCCTTCAGGTGGATGGGCCAGGAGGTAGAGATGGATGTCATGCCTAGGCCTGGCCCCACCTCCTCCTAATGCCCGGAGGACTGGGGCGAGGTCACTGAGCTTCTCAGCTTTAGGGATCTCCCTGTGCCCTTTCACATCTCAGTCCTCAAGGGACCCAGAAAGGGAGGCACAGTTTATGAATCCCGTTTTATTTATTTATTTATTTTTTGAGACGGAGTCTCGCTCTGTTGCCCAGGCTGGAGTGCAGTGGCACAATCTTGGCTCAGTGCAACCTCCACTTCCTGGGTTCAAGTGATTCTGCCCCTCAGCCTCCCAAGTAGCTGGAATTACAGGTGTCAGCCACCACGCCCAGCTAACTTTTTTATTTTTAGTAGAGACAGGGTTTCGCCATGTTGGCCAGGCTGGTGTCAAACTCCTGACTCAGGTGATCCGCTCGCCTCGGGCTCCCAAAGTGTTGGGATTACAGGCGTGAGCCACTGTGCCTGGCCATGAGTCCCATTTTACAGATTCGAGAGCTGAGGTTCTGAGAAGCAAGGCCTGGCCAGGCCTCCTGACCTAGGGAGGCCTAGGGCCAGGCTGCCCCCGAGGCCAGGCCGCAGGACTGTCCAGGGCATAGGGCCTGCCACTGGGCTAACACCCCTCTTCCTGCCTGCCAGCATCGAGGGGGAGTACGTGCCAGTGGAGGGCGATGAGGTGACCTACAAGATGTGCCCTATCCCGCCCAAGAACCAGAAGTTCCAGGCCGTGGAGGTGGTGCTCACTCAGCTGGCCCCCCACACTCCCCACGAGACGTGGTCTGGCCAGGTCGTGGGCTCCTAGGCTGGGTGGCTCACAGGCCAGCTGGCCGGGGGGGTGGGGAGCCACACAGGGTGAACGGGCAGCAGCCAGCTCCATGCCCCACTGCCCTGGCTGATCAGTCCTTCGGTGGCCTCAGTGTGCACGTCTGTCTGTCTGTCCGTCTGTGCTTGTGGCTGTCAGCGTGTGCCTCCACCCACCCCATGACCCGTGACTACTATGCGAGCCGGAAAGGAGGTGGGTGGAGGGCGAGGCCACCAGACCTGGCTTCTCGCTGTCCACTGCCTTTCTCCTCCCCTCCCTGCCGCAGACACGCAGGACCCGCTCGCCCTCCTACCCACCCATCCCCATGGTGACTGAGCCTCGAGAGCCTGTGCTGGGCTCACTCCCTGGCCTCCGCCCCTGAGCTGTCCCATGTCAGTCCACAGTTCTCTGTGCTACTTACATCTCCCTCCCTTGGCTGAGGTCCCCCGCCACCATCTAGACCCTTCCCTCAGAAGCCTGGCCGGTGGGTGCTTTTGGGGAGCCTCCCAGCCACTGGCAGGGGAGGAGGACAAATACAGAGGCACACAGGCCCCTCACTGCTGAGGCCAGCCTTCCTTCCTGCTCTGCTCTCAGTGCACTAGAGAGGCAGGAAGAGGGGCCTGAGGGCGGAAGGGGTTCGGGGCTCCCATTTCGCCGGCCAGTCCCTCCTCCTCAGCCTGGCAGTGGCTCTGGGCTCCTTCCCCTGGGCTGTACTGAGCCAAGCCCAGGGGTTTGCAGAGGGTGGGGGTCCATCTCTCCAGCTTGGCTGCAGCCCTCCTTTACCCTGACTCACAAGCACTACTGATGCTCTGCGCCACGCCCGGCTGACAGCTGCTGAGGACGCCGCGATGGACGGACACATGTCCATCAGGCAGGGCCGGGCCGGGGCACCCACAAGGAGGGCCCTCAGCCTGGGAGACTGGCCCTGCAGCCCCCGCGTCAAACCCTCTTCCCAAAGCCCTGACAGACCAGCGGCTGAGGTGTGGCTCTTGCTTTTACCGTGTCCATCCCTGAAGATGTGTGACTGTCGCTGTCACCTGGAGTCCTTTTGGGGCCAAGATGTGTATGCACTTGGGGTCGTGGCCATTCACTCCCATACAGGGGTGAGGGCGGCCTGGCCCGGGAGGCCAGGAAGGAGGGCGCTGTCTGCCCCCACCTCTGGGCGCACCCCCTGCCTACCACCCTCCCTTCTAGACAGCACATCGCCTGACTGGGCAGAAGTGGGGCCATGGTTCAAGGGAGGGCCGGCCAGGGGTGGGACCCTTATGAGACCCAGTATGTGAGTAAAACGGGGGGCTCAAATGCCCAGGATGAGGGGATCAGTGACTGTCTAGGAGGATCCCTGGCCTTGTAGGTGCCCCAAGACCCCAGGGTAGAGATCAGCCGGGATGCCTGCATCCCAACCCTGCCCCCAGGGCCTATCGCATAAAATCTGGGAGCCCAGAGCTGCTGAGGTATGCTGGTCAGCTCCCCTAAAATGGGCACGGCCCAGCCTGTCCCATGAGGAACAAAGGCCCCTGACCCCTTGAGAGAGGGCTTGTTAGTGAGGGAGGACTCCTGGGGGCCCCCAAGGCTCCCCTCCTGTAGGGAGGCCACCTTTTAAGGTACCACTATCAGTCAGGATGTGGTGGCATCAGCCCTGGGGCCGCGTGGGTGGCAGGGGGGCAGCAGCTTTCCTCCCTACTCACAGGCCTTGCAGTGCCCATTTGGAATTCCTCCCAAGACCCCTGGCCACCCAAACCCCCCATTCTTCCTAACACTGGCAATAAACCCTCAACTGTGACCCACCGTGCCCTAAAGCTGCCTCTGTGTCAGGGTCCCCAAGGAAGGGGCTGGGGGTGGACACACCAAACCAGCTCTTCTCTGGGGCTTCAATGGCCCCCTCCTCAACTGGATCAGGGACTTCCTTTGTGACCTGGGCCAAGTCCCTGCCCTCTCTGTGCTGTTTACTCATCGGCAAAGTAGTGGCTGTGAGGGCATGTGACTAGGGCCAATTATCCATTTAGACGCAACTGACACCTACTTTGTTTTGGGAAATTTAATACCGTGACAAAGTTCTCTAAAATAGGCGCCTGCGCCACCATACCCCACCGTCCAGGGAATAGGCACCTGCGCCACCATACCCCACCGTCCAGGAACAGGCGCCTACGTCACCATACCCCACCGTCCAGGGAATAGGCGCCTGCGCCACCATACCCCACTGTCCAGGGAACAGGCGCCTACGTCACCGTACCCCACCATCCGGGGAATAGGCGCCTGCGCCACCGCACCCCACCATCCAGGGAATAGGCACCTACGTCACCACACCCCACTGTCCAGGGAATAGGCACCTACGCCACCATACCCCACTGTCCAGGACAGGCAGGCAGGGCAGGCTAGATCTCGTACCGACACTTCTGCACGCCTCCTCCTGGCGCAGAAACCTGTTCTGTACCGAAATACAAGCAGCAGCTGTGGCCTCGGCCACCAGGTGGAGCATGGGGAACACTCTGGGCTCTGCGAGGACGGAGCCAGTGCCACTAGGAGCTGACTGGCTGGGGTCGGTTGTCCACACAGACTCTGGCCTCATTCGGGTGGGCCTTGCAGCAGGCGTCCTGGGCCAGAGGAGGGGCCCTGGCATCTATCCAACACCAGGACCTCTCTTTAGGCCTAGGCCAAACTCTTCAGAAGTCACAACGCACAGATGTGGGCCCCGGTCACGCCTCATGGGCTGTCTCTGGGAAGAAAATCTCCCGGCATCGCTGCACTGTGTCCTGAGGAGACACCACGCTGTGGCCAACAGTCCGGGGGTCAGCAAAGATCTCAAAGTCGTTCCCACCCTGCACACAGAGGACGGGCAGAGGAGGCATATTTAGGCGGAGTCCCTCTCCACGTTGGCTGCTAAGGACCTGCCCCTCCTCCTGCCCCTTCAGAACTGGCAGGAAGCCCACCTTCTCACTCCTGTCAGACCCGCCCTGACTTGCTGTGTGATGTAGAACAAGTGCCCAGCCCTCTCGGGGCCCCAGCCTTCTGATCTGTGTAATGGGGCTGGTGAGCAATGGCTGTTCTCCAGGAGCCCCCGCAAGAGGTCTGCTGTGTTGCCCCGTGTTCTGGCCTTGACCTGGGCGATTTGTGTTGGAGAAGCCACCAGACCTGGCTTCTGGCTGTCCACTGTGTTGGGGGAAACCTGGGGTGGGCCACACTCACAGGGCTGGTCTCGTTCCCAAAGAAGTGGATGGTGTCGAAGCTGTCCTGGTCCAGGCTATCCAGGCAGTAGCGCTTGTCCCAGCCCTCGGGGAAGACGTCAAAGCTGATCATGCCTCCTGTGGGCAGGGGTGGGGACTGTTATTCCCTGCTGGGAGGGGCAGACAAGGCTAACAGAAGGGCTGCTTGTTCATTCATTCATTCAACAACCCTTGGGGATTGGGACACGGGGCAGGAACAGGACACGGGACAGACTTAGGATCCTCAAGGAAGTTATGACACAGGTTGGAGAACAAACAAGACTACAAGACTACAAAGTGGGTGGGGGAAGCTCATCCAGCCAGGGTGGTCAGGGGAGACCTCTGACGAGGTGGCAATGAGCTGGGACCTGAGGCACAAAGTACAGCCCCTGAGACACAGAACAAAGTACAGCCCCTGAGACACAGAACAAAGTACAGCCCCTGAGGCAGGGAAGAAGATGAGTGTCCCAGCAAGGGAGGAGGCTGGGAGAGGCAGGGCGAGGACGGGCAGGCCCTGGGCATCACGTGGAGAAGGAGGAAGAGCCTAGGGAGGGCTTTGGGCAGAGGCACACCATGACTGCAGCTCCAGCCTCTCCGGCCACTGGGGAACGGGTGAGGTGGCAGAGAGGAGCCCGGCTGCGTCAGGTCAGTTGGAGGCTGGGATAAGCTGCTGGCAGTGGAGGTGTGAGCACCAGTGGGATTCCAGATGCAGGGCCCTGGGACTTCTAGGAGTTTGGACTTGGGAAGGGGCGGGGGAGAGCATTCAAGGGAGAGGCTCCGGTTTTTGGCCTGAGAAACTGGATGGGCATAGGGCATTTACCACTGAGGTGTGAGGTGGGGAAAACTGGGGGCCAGTAAACGCTGAGCCCCTTTCTGCATTAGGCTCAGCCACCCCCTCTGCCCTGAGTGGGGGAGGGGCTCCTAAAGCTACTGGGGGCCACAGCCTGGTCTTGCAAGGGGCGGAAGGTTCGAGGAGGGGCCCTGTACCAGGCCTCCCAAGCCCTCTGCAGGGTGGACGTACCTCGGGAGAACCTCAGCCCTTTGCCAGCAAACTCTGTTTTCAGGGCTTCCACGAACTTCTCCCGGATCTTCTCTTTCTGCAGAGGGGAGGGGGCGGATGGCAGCTCAGAGAACCTGCTGTGTGCCAGGCCCCGGCTGGGCACACAGTCCACGTGAGCGTGCTGAGCCTTCTAGGTGGGCTGAGAGTGTCCCAAGCTGTGAAGAAATCTTTCCACATGGCCGAGGCTGGCTGCACCTCCCGTCTCTGGAGAACAAGGCTGGCCACTGGACAGCCCCCCGTGCAAGGCCAGCCTCGGCAGGGACTGGCACTGTGACCTCGAGCTGGTTACTCACTCTCTGGCCTCAGTGTCCTCATCTAAGGAAGGGAAGTACTCATCCCCACTTCAGCGTTCTGGAAGACAAGCTGGGTCAAGCATTTACACCAGCTCTGGGCCGG